CCCAAAATAAAATATTTAGATGGCAACTCTGTATCTAACAAAACAATCAATTTCTGCCACTTTGATTCAAAATCATTTTTCCAATCGATTTCCGGACTTGGACTCTTTGGTGTTTATCAATTTCACATTATACTTGTGAGATGAGATTTAGAACCGCAAGAGTCTAAACTGTAGGACTTTTTTTCAAACCTCCGAAAGGGGGTGCGAAAAAGGCAAGCTACAGTAGCTATTCAAACCCAAGTTCTAACATTTGAAATAGGATCAAAACAATACAAAAACACTAGAAAGAGATAGAGAAAGACAGAAGTGAAAGCAAGGGAAAGGTGGTAAGCTTATACCTCTTGGAGAAGGTAAGCTCTTGTTTGTGAACCAAACTTGGTCCAAGCACACTTTCAAGCTTGAATTGTGATCAACAAAGCTTAACCAAGGTTCCAATGTATGGCTCCAAGGTTGTGTGTAGTGTATAGAGATGGTTTATGGATGATCAAGTAGCTCAAAGTTAGCTTGCACAAGAAGAAGGTGCTCTCAACTATGTGTTTGCTTCTTTGAAATTTTTTCAACCTCTAACACTGAGATATATGCCCATATTTATAGAATTTGAGCAAAATTGGTCATAAATATCTTCAAAAATGGACAACTGGCTCATTCCTAACTAGAACAGTGTTTCTCGCTATCGAGAGCCGGTCGGCTCCCAATAGCTACGGTTGGCTTCTAATGTGTTCCCCTGTTCCATTGTTTTTAAACTCAATGTAGGGTGGCACAATGTTCAAAAATGAATTTTTGGGGCAAAAAACAGTATAAATATGAAAGGTCTAGAATTGGTTTTGGAACGTGACATTACGCTGCTTTGTTGAGACTTCAAATCACACACAATGCAACTTCATGATTGAGTGCCTAGGACAAAGTGTCCAAGTCTTGTGGGCGGTCAAAAATAGGGTGTCTGCAGTGGGGGTTTATCTCTTAGAATTGAAGAGATGCTTCTTAGTCTCTTGTAACAAAAGAGATGGAGTGACATGATATTTTGGTCACAGATTTTTCTTGAATTTTTCACGATGCAAACTCATCATTAATATGAGTTGATTGTTATGATAGTGATTGTTAGTCCAAATATGTTGATCACGCCATAAATTGTGGTAATACATATCTATGTAAGAATTTTGTCCACGTGAGTGTAAATTATCTTAAGAAATACTTGCAAGAGATTTGATGTGAGATCATCAAAGGGGATGGGTCTTAAGCCCAAGTAATATATCACTCTTGGTGGAAACTCAACTCAACACTTGAAGAAACATCAAGTGCCCAAGTACACCATATGCTGTGATTGCAAGCACTTAAATTTTTATTTTTATAACCATCCCAAGGTATAAAGTGCTTGGGACTTGTAATGCAAAAGAGGAGGTTGAGCTACTTAGCTCTTAATAAGTTTACAATGGTGAGTTATGGTACTTTAGTTACAGGGGTACTCTCAGTAAATTTACCTATATGAGTGTAGGAGGTGGTGCCGTTTCCTATGAGTCTAAGAACTTGACTCTAGAGCGCTTATGAAACAGATACAAACACAAGATTAATCCACATGTTGGCTTTTTTGAAATACCTAGGGAGAAGAAAATTTATGTGTGAGACGTGTCCAGTTAATCGTATAAAACTAGTTCAAAGACAAGTCTACTATGCCATCTTGATTAACTTTGATGTGTTTTCACTAAGTGAATGATTCAAATCGAAAGATATCTTCCTTTATGCATAAATTTTCCTAATCTATCCAAGTTGTTGTTTTCATATATTTTGAAAATGGTGGGGGAATGTTGGAACATTTTCATAATATATTTATATATATTTAAATATATAATATGAATTTAAACCATAGGGTGTTACTATTGGATTTAAACCAAAAGACATGACTCTTGAATTTAAAGGATGTCACTTTTGAATTTAAAGGACACGACATTTGGTCTAAAGGACACAAACACATGCCTATATAAAGGCAAATGAGTTGGAAATTGTATGGAAATCATTTATATGAAATCCATGAAATTTCTCTCTAACATTCATATTGTTATTTTTCTCTATACTTAGTGGATTAGAAAAAACTAAAAGCATTTGGGATCTGATTTCGTTCGTGTAGAACGCAGACAGACATTAATCTTTAGATTGGGCATCATTGTATCTTAGAGGCGGATTGGCGAGTAACCCGATGCACACCATATTCGACAAGAATTAGTGGGGGCAAATATCGTCTTAAGGGAAGTGACGTTGTAATGCGCCTTGAAATAATACTAATTATTTTTTTCTTTATCTCCTTCGATCATATTTACCAAATTTGCACCAATAATATTTTTTCTTATTAACATTTTAATTTATTTTATCTTTCTGTAATTAAAATAGCCTCAAACCAACATCCCAAATAAAGCCTTTATTGTGGCGTTGCTATGATAAAAGCAAAAATTGGTAACATTTGGCTTACAAAATTACTGTATTTGATTTTGATTGATTTTTCTGAAAATTAATTTTTTTATTTTTAGTAATTTTTTTTAATATTGTAAGCAATTTTTTTACTTTTTTAGATGTACATAATTTAAATATATCTAAAAAGTAAAATATTTGTAAAAATTTAATATTGTCAGCAATTTTTTTTTACTTTTTTAGATGTACATAATTTAAATATATCTAAAAAGTAAAATATTTGTAAAAATTATTCAAAAATTTTAATAAATACACAAGAATATAAAAATGAAAAGTAAAATATTTGTAAAAATTATTCAAAAATTTTAATAAATACACAAGAATATAAAAATGTTTTGAATTATATATATATATATATATATTTGTATTTGATGATTTTTTTTAAAATCTTTTTTTTATAAATATTATACTTTTTAAGTGTATGTAAGCTAGGTTCATAAAAAAAATAAAAAATATATTAAAATATTAAAAATTTTGGCTAAAAATAAAAAAATATGAAATATAAAAACTTAATTTTCTAAAAAATGGGGTAAATTTTCTAAAACCAAACAAAAATGTCTCAATCTTCTTTTGTCACATTTTGTATATTATCTTACTAGCATTAGGGTTTGGCTTTCCTCTAGTCATAGAGGGTGATGTTGAGCTCGTGAGAATCATCACGGGTCCCGTTTTGATAATTTGAACCGTTCAATATGTAGAACTCCTCAAGTACTATGTACTTATAAAAAATCACATTGATCGGATATCGATAGCTATATGATCAAATTAGTTTTGTATATAAAAAAAAATAGACATTAAAAAATAAACGGTTGACTCCGATGAAATAACTATCAATATCCGATCAACGTGATTTTTGACATATATATAACGCTTGACGAGTTTTACACATTAAACAGTTCAGATTATCGAAACGAGATCCATGGTGGGCCTCCATGGGCCTAACAGCACACTCCAGTCTGATCACGGAGAGGGAATCTAATCCTCTAACATTATATCCATATTATGCACATGAATTCCTTTTAGAAAAAAAATAATAGACATAATTTTTAGTTTTTTATTTAAATAATAATATTTCGACTTTATTTTAAATTACTTAATTTTGTTTTATAACCTCTCAAAAGGGAAGTGTGAATATTATTATTATTATCATTATTATTATTATTCTTATTTTAATTTTTTTTGAATGGTAATACGTTTGATGATTAAATGTAGGGTCATGTTTAAGTGTGCAACCCCCTTAAGGTTGCACACCATAAGCAACCCAATTGTTAGCTATTAGATTACAATAATTGATCAAGACCATTGAATTGTTTAATCATGAAAAAGTTGAAACCGGGGCAACCGGTTAAAGCTTGTATTTGTATTTGCATGATTGCATCCCACTCACTCTCTGTATTTTGTCTCTATCTCTCTCTGTGTAAGGTTGAGTCAGTGTAACCCTTGATTTCCATTAACAGCGAGAAGCCCCTGCTGGGTTGGTTCCATTGACGAAGCTCTGTAGGGAACAGTATAACGGGCGATTTCCAATAACCACGGAACTACAAGGCTGTGTTGGTTCGATTGCTGAAGTGAAGCCCTTCTCTCCAACTAGATATAAGGTATGGAGCTGTCTCCCTCTCTCTGTATCCCTTTCTGTCACTCTGGCCTCTTCACTTCAGTTATTTTCCCTCAACTAAACCCCCATCCTAACTTCAACCGCTCTACGCTTCGCTCCAACGGAAACCCCTCCATTGGCAGCTAACCTTTCTCTTTCTGTTTCTCAAGCGAGTGTTTGTGTTTGCACAAACAGGTAAACCGTGTGAAAATGTCATGTTTGTGTTTGTGTTAACAATTTTCGGTCATCAAGTAATTGTTGGTAGTAATGTCATGTGCAGTATGGCCCCAGCGGAAGTTAAAAGGGAAGGTGATGGTTATGACATTCCAAATGAAGCAGATGACATCCGTTTGATGAATGAAAGTCGGGCAGAACCTGATCATGGTTGCGAAGCTGGTCCGAGCAATGAAGAAGCAACCAACATGAACATTGAAGATGGCGGAGCCGATGTGAAAAAGAAATGGTTGACGATGCTCATCGCAATGACATGGTTGGTGATGTTGAACGTGCTATTCTGGAACAGAAATTTGATTCGGTCGAAGATGGAGAAGCTTTCTACAATGCGTATGCTAAAGCCAAGGGATTTAGTATACGAAAATCCAGATTTAACACAAACAAAGAGGGAAAGGTCGTTAGTAGGCTGTGGTTGTGCTCAAGGGAAGGTCAGAGATCACCAAAATACTTGGACCGTGTTGCTGAGAAGAGTAGAGCTCCCAAGGCACTAACAAGAGTAGGTTGCAAAGCCCAATTTCGCATACGGTACAATGCAGATGCTGGTGAAGGGGGAAAAGTATGTTGTGACTCACTTCGTCGCAGACCACAACCATGAATTGGCGGAACAACATTGTGTGATGTATCTGAGGTCACATCGCACTTTAAACAGCGCTAACAAAGCTCAAGCAATGGCTATGCGCAACGTCGGTGTGAAGACTAGCTCATGGACTATATGGTAAATCAATCCGGGTCTTATGAGAATGTTGGTTTCATCCGTACGGATCTGCACAACCATATTCAAGCCGAACGTAAAGCTGAAGTTGAGGATGGTGATGCGTAGGGTGCATTGGTTTACCTATGTGCAAAACTTGATGTTGATGCACGTTTTTTTTACAAGTATGATGTGTGTAACGATAACAAGTTACAAAATCTATTCTGGGCAGATTCGAAATCGCGGGCCGACTACACAAAGTTTGGTGATGTGTTGATATTTGACTCAACTTACAGAACCAATGCATACAAGAAACCTTTTGTCATGTTGGCTGGTGTGACTAGATACTTTAGGACCACGATATTTGCATGTGTTTTGCTAGCTAATGAGACAAGTGAGACATACACATGGATTTTGGAAACATTTATGGAGGCAATGGGCAATAAAGCACCTATGTCCGTACTGACAGATGGGGATAAGGCGATGCGAGAGGCAATCAGAAGAGTATTTCCAGACGCAAGACATCGATTATGTAATTGGCATCTTGGGAAAAATGTTGTTTCAAATGTTCACATAAATGGCTTTGCACATGCTTTCAAGCAGTGCATGGATATGGAAACGGATGAGACAAAGTTTGAGCATGGCTGGACGACAATGGTTGAAAAATTTGGACTTCAAACCAACAGTTGGGTGTTGGAGACATATGAGAAGCGTCATATGTGGACTGAGGCATATATGCGTGGACATTTCTTTGCTGGGATGAAGAGCACTCAGCGCTCGGAGTGTATGAATGCTTATTTCAATCTCTTCCTCCAACACAAATTGAAACTATATGAATTTGTTAGGCACTATGATCGGGCACTTTCAAGGATAAGGTATAATGAGGCTGGAGATGATGCTGAAACAAATAACACTTTTCCAGTTTTGATTACTCCATTGCGAGATATAGAGAGACATGGAGCTGAGCTACTCACCCAAAATATATTTAGAATGTTCCGTGATGAAATCTTAGAAGAGGGGAAGTTGAATGTCAAGGACGTGTTCCCTTTGCCGGATGGTCAGAAATGCTACTATATTCATAAGTACAAATTGAAGGATAGTTCATAGATAGTAACACACAGTCCAGCGGATGCTGCAATGAGATGTTCTTGCATGAAGTTTGAGTCGTTGGGGCTACCTTGCTGTCACATAATATGTGTTATGAAAGCTGAAAATTTAACGCAAATTCCCCCAACTTGTGTGCTGCATAGATGGACAAGGGCTGCAAGCAAGGATGGCCAGCAATGGCCTCAACCCTCAATTGATAGCACTACAACACAGACGGCCCGGTATGGGATATTGTGTTCTTCCTACAACGAAATGTGTTTCTATGCCTCGCAATCAACGGAAGGTTTCAAGGATGCTAGGGATGCATGTCTTCCAATGACGACCCGGATGAAGGAGTTATATGAGAGGAATTTGAACGGTGGGAATGGAGACAAAGGGAAACATTCATTCCGTCGACAATTTGGAGTAGAAGATCCTGATGTTGTGAAGACAAAAGGGAACCCAGGACGGGCCTCGTCCAACTGTCGAAGACCAAGAAAATGTGGGAATTGCAAATGCATTGGGCACACAAAACGAACGTGTCCTAAGGTTCGGTTTAGCCGAACAGTGGGTAATAACTCAGATGCAGATACACCCCACATAACTGACCGTGAGTACAATGCGGAGTCATTGCCCCTCCAACGGAAACCCCTCCATTGGCAGCTAACCTTTCTCTTTCTGTTTCTCAAGCGAGTGTTTGTGTTTGCACAAACAGGTAACCCGTGTGAAAATGTCATGTTTTTGTTTGTGTTAACAATTTTCGGTCATCAAGTAATTGTTTGTAGTAATGTCATGTGCAGTATGGCCCCAGCGGAAGTTAAAAGGGAAGGTGATGATTATGACATTCCGAATGAAGCAGATGACATCCGTTTGATGAATGAAAGTCGGGTGGAACCTTATCATGGTTGCGAAGCTGGTCCGAGCAATGAAGAAGCAACCAACATGAACGTTGAAGATGGCGGAGCCGATGTGAAAAAAGAAATGGTTGACGATGCTCATCGCAATGACATGGTTGGTGATGTTGAACGTGCTATTCTGGAACAGAAATTTGATTCGGTCGAAGATGGAGAAGATTTCTACAATGCGTATGCTAAAGCCAAGGGATTTAGTATACGAAAATCCAGATTTAACACAAATAAAGAGGGAAAGGTCGTTAGTAGGCTGTGGTTGTGTTCAAGGGAAGGTCAGAGATTACCAAAATACTTGGACCGTGTTGCTGAGAAGAGTAGAGCTCCCAAGGCACTAACAAGAGTAGGTTGCAAAGCCCAATTTCGCATACGGTACGATGCGGATGCTGGTGAAGGGGGAAAGTATGTTGTGACTCACTTCATCACAGACCACAACCATGAATTGGCGGAACAACACTGTGTGATGTATCTGAGGTCACATCGCAGTTTAAACAGCGGTGACAAAGCTCAAGCAATGGCTATGCGCAATGTTGGTGTGAAGACTAGCAAATCATGGACTATATGGTAAATCAATCTGGGTCTTATGAGAATGTTGGTTTCATCCGTACGGATTTGCATAACCATATTCAAGCCGAACGTGGAGCAGAAGTTGAGGATGGTGATGCGCAGGGTGCGTTGGTTTACCTATGCGCAAAACTTGATGTTGATGCACGTTTTTTTTACAAGTATGATGTGTGTAATGATAATAAGTTACAAAATCTGTTCTGGGCAGATTCGAAATCGCGGGCCGACTACACAAAGTTTGGTGATGTGTTGATATTTGACTCAACTTACAGAACCAATGGATACAAGAAACCTTTTGTCATGTTGGCTGGTGTGACTAGACACTTTAGGACCACGATATTTGCATGTGTTTTGCTAGCTAATGAGACAAGTGAGACATACACATGGATTTTGGAAACATTTATGGAGGCGATGGGCAATAAGCACCTATGTCCGTACTGACAGATGGGGATAAGGCAATGTGAGAGGCAATCAGAAGAGTATTTCCAGACGCAAGACATCGATTATGTAATTGACATCTTGGGAAAAATGCTGTTTCAAATGTTCACATAAGTGGCTTTGCACATGCTTTCAAGCAGTGCATGGATATGGAAACGGATGAGACAAAGTTTGAGCATGGCTGGACGACAATGGTTGAAAAATTTGGACTTCAAACCAACAGTTGGGTGTTGGAGACATATGAGAAGCGTCATATGTGGGCTGAGGCATATATGCGTGGACATTTCTTTGCTGGGATGAAGAGCACTCAGCGCTCGGAGTGTATGAATGCTTATTTCAATCCCTTCCTCCAACACAAATTAAAGCTATATGAATTTGTTAGGCACTATGATCGGGCTCTTGCAAGGATAAGGTATAATGAGGCTGGAGAGGATGCTGAAACAAATAACACTTTTCCAGTTTTGATTACTCCATTGCAAGATATAGAGAGACATGGAGCTGAGCTACTCACCCGAAATATATTTAGAATGTTCCGTGATGAAATCTTAGAAGAGGGGAAGTTGAATGTCAAGGACGTGTTCCCTTTGCCGAATGGTCAGAAAATGCTACTATATTCATAAGTACAAATTGAAGGATAGATCATGGATAGTAACACACAGTCCAGCGGATGCTGCAATGAGATGTTCTTGCATGAAGTTTGAGTCGTTGGGGCTACCTTGCTGTCACATAATATGTGTTATGAAAGTCGAAAACTTAACGCAAATTCCCCCAACTTGTGTGCTGCATAGATGGACAAGGGCTGCAAGTAAGGATGGCCAGCAATGGCCTCAACCCTCAATTGATAGCACTACAACACAGACGGCCCGGTATGGGATATTGAGTTCTTCCTACAATGAAAGGTGTTTCTATGCCTCGCAATCAACGGAAGTATAATACGGAGTCATTGCTCATTCGCTGTAAAACTGGGTTGGTGGATCCAAGTACACCGCACATTAAGCAACGGCGACTATTTTTCGATGCTTCTCCTGATTCCAAGCAGTCCGTTGGCCAATACGTTAGTGTTGAAGCAGCAGTGTGCAAAAATGATTCGACCACAATTGATGAGGTGAATCAGGTAATTGTATAATTTGTATGATTTACTTATTCCCTTAATTTATTAGGTAGACAGTACTAGCTATTGAAAACACATGTAAATAATGTATGTAGTTTTCATTTTGCACGGATTGCTTTGCGTAACGTGTAAATAATTGGTTACGTACAATGCCAGAAAATGGCACAATGTTACTTATGTACAAGGCCACGAGTTCTAAATTTCCCATATTGTTTAGAGTGATGTTTTCATTTGTGTTTGCAGTGACTTGTGATATTGAAAACTAATTGAAAGTGAGATATATATGGGTTGTCTGTGTATTGTTTTGGGTGGGAAATTGGCTTATGTCTGTATTCCAAGATTCCTATTGCGGGTTGCTTGTTTCTGTTCCATATTTGGTTGGATCTAACTGAAGGGTTTTTTACGGTGTGGTTTATCAACTAACGATGTGTTTGGCTTTGTATTGATTTGTTATGACTTGTTTCGGTAAATTAGTATTATATTTCGAGTAAAATACGAATTTTGTCCATGTGGATTTGCGAAATTACATACCAGCACATGCATTTTGTATATAATCCAAATGGAAGTTAATTTTGGGTGTTACTTGGAGAAAGTAACCTAACGAACTCGTTACTTTATCTCCATGCCGATTGCCATATGAATTACGAGTAACGAACAGGAGTTATGAAATTATTTCATGTTAACTATGAAAGTGATGGGTTTATTGTTAGTAAAATTATGGTCGGCCTATATCGACAGCAACAAAGCAGTAATTTAAAGTTGACAAGTTAAAGAAGAAAATCAAGCAATTGTGGTATTGGTTCGAATGCCTGAAAAGGATGAAGACTTCTTTCGATGAACTGATGGTAACAAAGTAGAAAATAGAAAGTAGAAAGTAAGTTGTTGTGCTGTTGTGTTGTTTGTAACAAAGTAAAAAGCAGAAGGGAAAAAACTACTCAGAAGTTACAATGTAGAAAGTAAGTTGTTGTGTTGTTTTTCATGTTGTCTCTCTCTGCAAACATTCTGTCCTTTATAGCTATTATTTCCCATGACCCCATGATCTGCCGATTCTGTAACTGTTTCTGTGCAACTTCTGTAACTGCACGGTCATTTCCGTGTCTTAAAACCACATAAAACCTTCACTTGTACCTGTCAAAGTGCATATAATTGAAGTTGCCACCTGTGCCCAAGTCCTTTTAGCCTTTCCTCGACAGATACAGACTCCCAATTCGTTCATGTTTCCTCTTGGAGGCTGGCCACTAAATCCATGAGCACTGCCACTAACTGCTCCAGTGTGTAAGTCAGGTGGCATGCAAGATTTAATGTTAGTTGATAACCCTTGTCTTCAGGTGGACTTGCCATGTGTCCTCAATTGAATGGAGCAACTGTTGGCAGGATGTGGGAAAAATAGGTGCAAAGAGGAATTTTTTAAAAAATAACCAATCATAATTTAGCTGAAAATATGAGTGAACTTTTTTAAAAAAAAAGTAGTTTCCATTTTTTTGATTATAAACCCGAGATGTATATTTTGTTTTTGATATAAATAAGTTGTGTATTTTGATTACGTAAAATGTAGGACAATAATTGTGTTTAAGTCATTACAATACATAAAAAGGTTATTTCAAACATATTTTCAAGTTTACCGACATTGAATATGTTTTGATTAAATTACAAGGAAAATTCAATATTTGCTAGAGTTTGATGATTCAAAGTCGGGCAATAACAGTGGGTGGCCAAGTGTTGTGGTTCAGTGGCCCAGTTTGCAAGGATTGTGGTTGTGTTTAGTGGACAATATTCTGTCGATTTTTCTCTCATAATGATGAGGGACATGCCCCCACAATGGTGAAAAGGAAGGTCGACAGGGAAGAGTCAATATTTGGCATAGTGGACTTGAGGATTCGAAGTCAAGGGACAGTTACAGTGGCAGTTATGGTGTAGACGTGTGGGATCACGCAATGATGGGCCATAAAAATAGTATACGGATATCGAAACCAACGATCTCCCTTCTAGGCTTTCCAAGT